TTAAAAGTATAATGTTCACCTCAAATGATCTTAAAACGTACTTTTATTGAACAACAACAGAAAAGAGAACTTTTAACTTAACACTGAGCTCTGTGAGCGCTCCACTGAAAGCTGCTGCTGCTGCAGTGCATGCTGGGACAGCTGTCAAACTCAAGAACGGACGAGTCTACTTTAATGAATGCTGGGTAAAGAGGGAGGGGCAAGAACAACATCCAGGGACTTTGTCTGTTCTCGGCCTTCTTGTTCTTGTGAAATGGAACAGTACTAGGCCTGAGGCTGATGATGTTTCATGAGTACACGAGCACATGAAACGTACAGGTACACATATTGGGAAACAGCCTGTTGCTTTTAAATGATCTTTTTTTATTCTAAAGTGAACAAAGACTACACTCATGAGAAAACAAAGTGGAATAAAGATGACTTGTTCTCAGAGCGTGAACAAATAAAAGCAAATGTAATGATATAAAAGGGGTAGAAAGATGTGAGTACCCGCCATATATCTGATTCAATAACCATTTAAAAATAATTTTCTTTAACTTCAGACAGAACTATTCACATACTTGTATTAGAAGAAAGTGCACTTCCAATATTCACCTCTGTTCTGCACCTTTTCCTCTGAGAGCAAGCCGGAGCAAGCCGACTTGTTGTTCATATATCCTAGGCTACATAGGAAACACCAGACCGTCCTTCAAATCGAGCAAAAAGAAGGACACATTTGCAGGCTGTATAATAAGGAGTCTTCCAATCCGAACAGGCCTTGGCGTCACGCTATGATGTAATCAGCCTATGAATCTTGCCTTCAGAGGACGCAGCCCATGAATTCAAATTCAGCCTATATATGCCAAACAGAACAATGAATGGAGTAACTGATTGGGAGCAGGTGTGGACAGAAGGATCTAGAAGGGAGCTAGGGGAAGGACTGGCACAAGGGGGCAACAGAGAATAAACAACAATTACAACAGTGCTTAAATATAACTACAAAATAACATGGATGACACTAAATAGAAAAGAAAGTGTAAATTGTAGATATCTGGCTGCCTTGCCAAATATAGAAGCAGCTGTACTGCCTTATATATCCTTATTTGTGGCCTTATACTTACTTAGCAACAAAAGATGCAGTTGACAGGGTGTTTGAATCCTAACAGTACAGGCTGAAGGTCAAGTATGAATCTTGGTAACAACAAGGTCTCTAAGGGCTGATTTGTACGCAATTATATGATATATGAGGAGGTTTGGCATAAACAGAGAACATCTGTATAAACATTCTGGTCAATGTCAGAACAACCCCTGGCTTCGACCAGCACGGTTGAATTCCAGTAAGTTTTCGACATGATACTCCTGTGCATGTGCATTTACGTAATGCGATGTTGAGACTATAAAACAGAGAGTTGGGGGAAAACGATGTAGCGCTGAACGTGTGAAGTGTTTAAGACAGCTGTAGGAATTCTAATTGGAAAATAAATGTTTCCCCCCTCCGGAGGATAAAAGGATGTGAATCGTAAGTGTCCTTCTTTCTGTCATAAGAGAATCCTACCAATGAGCTTCCACAAAAGCAATGAACTAGAAAACACAGAATTAAATAAATCAAAGTGTAACTGAAAAATCAAACAGAAAACTTAAACAGAACCATAAAGTCCAGTAAGGGCAGAATCATGAGAGATGTATTAATACTGTGCTTTTATCCTGGTGAAGGTTCTCGGTCATCCAGGTCATAGTCATTCCAAAAAAAGAAAATTAAAAACAATCCACTGGACTTTGTTTCCAAGTTTGAAGATGTTTCGCTTCCCATCCAAGAAGCAAATTTGGAATTGAAGTAGCTTCCTGGATGGGAAGCGAAACATCTTCAAACTTGGAAACAAAGTCCAGTGGATTGTTTTTAATTTTCTTTTTTTTTTTTTGGAATACTGTGCTTTTGTTTCCTTAATTAATTAACGATTTTAGACAGTGGACCGGAAGGCTTCCAATGTTTTAGTCACACCCATCGGCTGACTAAACCCCTCTTCACACTGGATTAAGACCGCACCACATATTCAAACAGCCAGAACCTGAATAGTCCTAGGCAGAATCTTGGAGAGCTCTTTACAAACATAAGTTCTATGTTGAATTCAGGATGGTCCATCAACATTGTTGTAGCATATTTGTTTTATGGGTGTGGCGCGAGGTTTCTGGTTACAGCAGTGGTGGCTCATCCATTAGATGTTGCATATTATAGAGCAGGGTATGTCTTGGTTATTGGATCTAAATATATCCTAGCCTATGATCATTGCATCCTGTCTCCTCTCTTGTTTAGTATTTACGTTCATAAAAAATCAGCATTGATGGGCTCTTAAACGGAGAAAAAATGGAAATATCAGTTTTA